GTGCGTTTCATCTCCCCTGGGTCAAGTTACACATCCAGGCAAGGTGTGACTAAACTCAGGGCTCCCCGCGAGGCTTCGCAGATTAGGTAGTTGGGTGTTGGCTATAGTAAAGCCTCCCCCCCCTTGATGACATGAGTTCGAAGTCCATCGCGGCTGCCGACATTTTAACAACTGAGTCAAATAAATAAGTGAAACTTCCGGTGGACACTGAAATGATCAATTCTGACTTAATTTATCTCATAGGTCACCCATATCCTAGCCTCAGCCAGGCAGTTACTATGTGAATCCTTGTCAGATGGTCATCACAAATTTTCATCTCACGCTTTCGACCACGTGAAGCACAGGTCCAGTATTTATTCCTAACGCTACTTGACTGCGAAAGCCACCTTATGCATAGGGAAAACCGGATTGGCTAATATCGGTAGCATTAATGTGTTAGCCAGTTCGTACAGTTGACCGGGGAATTAGCGTATTCCAGGTGACATTGTATGATCTATTTCTTCCTGAACATCAGTCACCCAAATTGCTGGTTTCTTGGGACAGTCTAGAGTACTAGGTCCGGCGTGTACACCTGCGGTGACGGAAGAGCATTTCAAACATAGAATCTGCCCTATTGGTTGCAGCAGAACACACAACTTACCACGATTTTCGGTATCCGGATTTCGGAGCCAATATTCGAGGGCGTACTTGAGGTTGAAGACTATCCAACCATAGGTGTTGGCAGAGAACCAGCGCACATCCACCAGTCGCATCACCACTTGCTCCTTCTTTGATGAACGTTCAGTCAAGTAGAGTTTTAACTAAAACAGATGAAGGTAATTATTTAATTTTTTTCTACGCAAGGGGAGTTGTGCTGTTTGTTTACTCCAGCGACTAGAAGTCGAAGGTAAATATTTTCCTTCGCTTAAAAAAACAAAAACGGTCATCGCGCTGCCTGTTTTTTTTAACTGAAGGATAACAAATTCAGGTGTGGTTACGTAGAAGCACACATTTACAGGGGATCTGCGTTGTGCTTGGTGGGAAACGGAAGTGATGCCAAGCTCTGACGCATACATTCACCCCATAATTATTGTCAGCTTGGTGTCATCGTTTAGTCACTAGCTGGAAGATGATAATGTTGGACAAACCCGGACGCACGTCTGAGGATATGCATTGATAGACTGAGATTACGAAGGTGGTGGGGATAAAGTCCCCAAGTCAAGTCTTCTCCGATCACTTCTTGAAGTTTAATTCCATGAAATTCTGATGAATGACTGCGTATTAGTCGCAAACCATCAACAGGCATTCAGCGATACGTAAGTGCGCAGCGAAATAGTTTTGGCAACATAGGTACTGGCTGAAAGTCCAGACACACGTTTGACTCCCCAGTGGATCACCTAACGTTCCTCATACGGTTTCTGATCTATAGGCACGCTAAGGTTTCAATATTAGTCTTCATAAATTGACTATAATTAATGAGCGAAATAAAAAGTACATTATTGCAAGTCCTGCATGCAATTTTCACGATGAAATTTAACTTAGTAGTTTAGCATGTATTTGGATAGGTTATTTTGCTCAACTGAGTGGATTTAGTAATTAGAAAGGCTTTCGTTTGGAAAACTGCCCTCCAAATAAAGTTATGGGGCGAAATAAGCACTAATTTCGGCTAAATCATGGGTAAGTTTATATCGAAGAAATTTCCTATGCTATAAGGTAAGGCAGAACCAAACTTTTTATTAATGTGCATTGTGTTATGGAAGAATTCCAGAATAAGTACAGATAAGTGGAAAAATTATCCTTTCCAGAACTAGAAATTTTTGTCCGAAGTTGCTTAAATGGAAGGGAAGCCAAGTTTACGGAATCGAATTTAATTTCAGAAAAAAGCAGCAATTTAAGTTTTAAGGATTATGTTTTAGCTAACCTGTGAAGATTTTTGCACAAAATGCAGTAGCATAAAGTCTTCGTCGCATTTTGTTTTACCGCACGGCTCATGTTGGCGTAGAAAAAAAGTGTCCGCATATATTACCGCGAAGGTAATGTAAAGAAGGCCTTATAGAATGTTTATCATGATGAAATATAGTTTTTTTGTAAACTACACGTTCCGTTTATGCTTTATTTAGAAGCGGAACAGACAGAAGAATAATAAGTATTGCAAAAAATGGCAATATATATGGCCAGCCTTTTGCATTCGCAAGATTATAACAGATCGTGCAATTACTCCACTTGGGTCAACTCAAATTAAGCAAATCTGCCAAACCAACTTAATAATTA